GTAACAGACCATAATTTATTACCTCACACACCGTAGTTCTTCACTAACCTGGTGTTCATACACAAGCTTCATGGATGAATCTCCAGGTCATAATTCATACCAACAAGAAAATAAATAAATAAATAATAACTTAAAAAACAACAACACAAAAGAAATTAAAATTAAACTTTTTATTTTATTTTATATAATTGTATTTTATTTGTTTTATGTTATTTTAGGACCATTAGGATTTATGCTTTCAGAATTTTTACTTTTGGGTTATTTCCTTTTCTATTATACAGTTTGAGAATATATATGTCAAAACAAGGTTTTCTATCTATCTATCTATCTATATAACACAATACAATATATAAAAAATATATACAAAACAAAAATAACTATAAAAACAAAATATAATTCATTATGTATTCTCAACAGTGTTATTTTAATATTATTTCTATACTATTATTATTTTTATTAATATTTTGAATTTAAACAAGTAAACATATTTTAAATATGACTTTTTATGTTTTTTACTTTTTATGTTACTTTAGATTTTTTTTTTTTTAAATTTTTTATTTATTTCCAGTTAGAAATTGCTTAATCTAAAAAATCTGAAACTGAAATGAATTAAAAAAAATATTGATATTTAATTTTATTTCATCTTAAATGAACAGCAATGTTGTATCATACTTTAGTAGTGAGTTATTAATATTGATATTTGTTTTTAATATAGTAATGATAACAGGAAATATTTTTGTATAAATTACACTAATGAGAGTTTGAGGGGAAAGTAATTTTCATGGAAATCTCAATTAAAAAATAAAAAGTATGTAACATATAATTTCTTTTTTCTTTCTTTTTTTTTTTGTGGGGTGAAATATGACCTGAGCACATTCTCGACAGGTTTCATGAGATTCACCTGTATGTGTGCATGTGCATTTTAATGTAGATGAGTCTGTAATTTGTTTTCCCTCTGAACTCGGAGCAAAACTCACAGTGGGAAATCACTGTCAGAAATCTGTCCTGTCTCATCCCTCCTTCTTTTTTTGTTCTCATCTCCAAAAGCTCCTGCCCTGTGTCCTCCCTTGCCCAGCACTCTTCCCCTCTCATCCCTCTTTCATCCTCCCCTCCGGCCTCCCGGGCGCCGCTTGCTTTGATTCTCTGAGCTGGACGGCGGTTATCAGCCGGCCCCAGCCTCTCCACATCAGAGAGGGATGGAGGGAAGCGCGGAGAGATAAAGAGTGTGACGGGGACATATGGAGTTATTGAGAAGAGAAATGGAAACGGAAGGATGGCTAGAAAGGAATGTGAAATTTGAAAGCAGGAAAAGCAAAAGTGATGGGGAGAATAATGAAGGCGAGAGGGAGAAATGTCTGGAAGATGGATGGCGTTAGGGAGGAGCGTGTGGAGGTGTCACTGAGTGAGAAAGAGCACATGCCAGTGTTCTCCCTGAGGCCCTGCACGCTCAAATACTGAGTTTTGATTTTTATTTTGAATATTGATTCGATTCTGAGGTGAAAACCAACAACAGGAAGCTTCCAGTCCCCAAGACAAGTTCCGACCCAGATACATACAGATAGAGGCTCACCGGGTGTGTCGCAGTGGTGTACTACTGTACTACTCATACTAGTCTTGCAGTATGTTTATGCAGTATGCTAATTTTCTGTACACACAAAATACGGATGAAATACTGCATTTGCTGAATATACAGCCAGAGACTACTGTTACTATCATATTATTAAATAATATTAAAGTATTTGTTAAAATTTCAAATATTTAATTTTTATATTTTCTGTTTTCATTTTTTGTAATTTTATTGAGTTTGTCATTTTACTTGTTTTTTTATGTTTATGTAGTATTTATTGAGTTTTTAGTTTGAGTTATTTTAGCACTTCTACTAAACTAGACGAAGATGAGAAATAAAATTATGAAATAAGTTAATTTTTTTGAAATATTTTATTTTATTAAATTTAAATAATACATTTTTATTAAGTTTTAAAATTATTATTTTTTTTTAGCTATTATAGTACTTTGACTAAACTAAAATTAAAAATGTTGTCTTGGCAACTAGAAGAAATGAAATTCTTCTAGGTTTTTTAATATTTAATTTTATTTCAGATCATGTTTATTTTATTTCAAACAATGAAAATGCTTTTTATGGTTTTAGTTTTAGTTAACAATAATAAAAAGTGCACATTGTAAACCATCAATTTGACTAATTTCGAATTTCAGTGTGACAAACTGACAAGCTTTTTATTTTATTATTATTATTATTATTATTAATATATATTATTTGATTGAGCTGCCAAAAGTAAAGATATTTTACATAAAACTGGATTTTAAGTTGGCATAAAATGGAAATCTGCTCTATCTGTTTTTTTAAATGCTTCTTATTGATATATTGAACTAGTCATCCATGCATATATTTGATTTTCTTTTTTTTTAACCTCATAATTTTTAATCAAAATGTCAAATGTCAGTGAAATGACAGACTTCTCTCTGGTGACATATGCAGGATTTCTCCAATCACTTAGTCTGCTTAAACCCCGCTTCTTTCTTAAAACCGAATGCAAGCCAATCAGATAGAACTAAGTCCCCGCCCTACTTTTTCTTTTTTTTGAAAATACATTTCATTCGGATGTACATCACAATACCAAAAGAAAAAAAAAAGTGCTGTTGCTACTTCAGCCTCTTTGCGACTTCAGAAAATGAACAATATTATTCACAAAATTAAACATTTAACATAGTAATGTCATGTAATGGCAATGTAGCATACTAAAGTTTGAAGTTGTTAACTGTTTTACATGTTAGACGTTATAAAGTATATACTGCACAGTGTGTAATATCTATTCGGAACATAACCAGTGTGCTTCCTGAGGCCATCTGTGCTTAAACAATGTCTTTTTCTTCATGTCATTGCTAAACTCTAACACTCATGGGAAAAGCACATGCAAAAAAGAGCAATAAAGGTGTTCCTCCTTAGAGACGAGGATAAGAAAGGAGTTTGAACAAATAACGGCAGGAGAGAGAGAAATGTATTCTGTGGTAGTATTTTTAGATCAAAGGATCTTTGTGATTGGAGCCGGTTTGAACCGTGCGGTGCCTTCGGGTGGTCACATGACCACCGCAGCTCTCATAGCAAGAACCCCAGGGCCAGATATGTGCACGGAAGTCTGGAGGGGGTGACTGAATGAATGCCTGATTAAAACCCATCACCACCATCAATAAGTAATGACCAACAGCCAGTTCAAGCAAAAACGCAATCAAGAGCAGAGAGAAAGAGAGAGAGAGTGGAAATGGATGAAAGGAAGGATGTTCACTAGAAATTAAATGACCATCATTCACCGCTGGGTTGAAACTCTATATAGTGATTTTGTATTGTCGCTGTATATGTGTGCGAGTGTAAAATTAGGCTGTGCCCTTGTTCCCATGTCCGTCGGTTTCCCTGTGGGATACTGCAGCTATGCAAGTCGGTATGAGAGGGAAAAACACCCATAGTTTCTAGATTTGTTTTTGCCAAAGCTTCTGCTGGCCATGATTTGATAACCAAACCATCGAACCTCAGGGAACTTCCCTTGCCCTCTGTGCGCTCGGAGGAAAAATGTCATTGCTCAGATGTTGCCGTGTCATACCGTGCTGAAAAAACAGCAGATCTGCATGAATTTCCATGGGTTTTAATGGTCGCTGCTGCTTTTGCTAGTGGACCAGCAAAAACAAATGCTGTGGTGAAGCTGAGGACTGAGGAAATCTTGCTTTTGAAGCCACGCTAGTTAAAAAGCATTATGAGGACTGTATGTAATACTGAATAACACACTACAGTCAAAACTATAATCCTTTATTTTCCATGTGCTTTAGTATGATAGTCAGCATATCAAAATAAGTGTACTTCTTTAAAGCGAGATGATTTAAACTGTACTTGTGTAGTAAAAATGGAAATTCGGTCATTTAATTTTTCTTCTGTTGAAAAAAAAAGAAGGTTGGTAACCAAACAGTTGATGGTAGCCATTGACACTTCCATAGCATTTTTTTTTTACACTATGGAAGTAAAAGGGGACCAACAACTTTTTGGTTACCCACATTCTTCAAAATATCTTCTTTTTTGGGCGAACTATCCCTTTAAGTGTGTTAAGAAACTGTAATGAAGGTGTCTCTCTTTAAGTACACTTAAGTGGTCTTTTACTGTATTAATATTATTTGAGTTTTTTAAAATATACTTTTACTTATATACTTTAAGATTATACTACAAGTGCGCATAAAATACAATTAAAAAATTAAAAATTACAAACATGTATATGTTTCTTACTTTTTTTTTAACAAAAACAAAACAAAAAGGTTTTGAAGAATGTTCGTAACCAAACAGTTTGATGGTCCCCATTGACTTCCATTTTGTGGGAAAAATAACATGGAATTCAATGGCTACCTGTTTGGTTACCAACATTCTTTAGTGCTCAACAGACGTTTGAAGTACACTACAAGTACACATTAAATACAATGTAGTGCATTCTTTTTCACAACAGGCAAAATGAAAGATTGTGATCTCATTTTTTATTGATTCATTGATTTTTTTTAACAAACCGCTCTCTCTAACATGTGTTTGACAGAGGTCCTGATGAATACAAAGACGGAGACATCAGATCTGAAGTGGACGACATACTCTCGCTCTAAACCTGAGGTGAGACCTGCAGCTCCAGCGTCTGACCCTACATATAGAGCAAAAGCTCAGTGCAGACTGTATATTGTCACAGCTGATCTCCACTAACCAGTCGGTCTTCATGTGTCTCCTCTATGTGCAGTGGGAGGAGATCAGCGGTCTAGATGAAGAGAACAACAGCGTGAGGACCTATCAGATCTGCCAGGCCGACGGCTCGTCCAGTCACTGGCTGCGCAGTAAGCTCATCGAGCGGCGAGGGGCGTCGCAGGTGTACGTGGAGCTGCTCTTCACCATGATCGAATGCTCATCGCGGAGCACGCACCACCGATCCTGCAAAGAGACCTTCAACCTTTACTACTACCAGAGCGACACGGATGACGCGACAGCAACCCACCCAGCGTGGATGGAGAACCCCTATACCAAGGTGCACACATGCAGACAATCATACGCACTCGAATACGCATGGAAAATTGTAGAAATAAGAGATGTTATTAATGTTACTGAAAGGAAAATTTAATAGATTTCGGTTATATCTAATTCACATATCAATTTAGTCTCACGTTTCTTCTTATTTGTATTTATTTATTGGAGAAATCAAAAAGACATAAACATAATAATTGTAGACATACCATTGTGAAAAGTACACATTACAGCATACTTTTAAAAATCTAATTTAATTTAATCTAATGTTTTTCAGACACTTAATTGCATGAAATTACATGAAAATGTTTTAAAGAGTTATATTAAATGCAGTTCGCTAAACTTTAGAGTGCTTTTTTGACCCACTTCTTAAGGACTTACGTACAGCTTATATAATTTCATAATTACTTATATTGTCTTTAAAATATGGTTAAAGTGTACTTCTGAATGTACTGACAAGTATTTATCATAAAATAAATAAAATACTTAATTGTAATTTCTACTGACACTTGTATGTCAAGTATTTAAATTTATTTGTAAGTACGCATAATGAAGTTGAAATTTAGTACATTTATAATATTACCTTTAAATGCAATATCAATTAACATTATCAAGTACCTTAAATGTTCTTTAGCATGTTATTCAACACGTCAAAATAAGTGTACTTCTTTAAAGCATGACAAATATATATATTTGATACATATATAAAACAATTATTTAAAATATGCTTTAATGAAAAACTTGATATATTTTGAAAGCTTGCTTGTAGTTATGAAAGTGTATTCCAAGTACACTTAAGTGGCCTTTTATTTCATTAATATAATATATTATCTGAAAGTACTTTTAAAAAAAATACTTTTTGAAGTACATTACAAGTGCAAATTTAGTACAATTAAGTGCAATTCTATTTAATTTTAGGATACAGTGAAACTAAATCTATAAAATGAAAATGTCGATAGCATACCACATCCTTTGGGCTTTGGAAGACTTGGATTGTTTGATTGTTTTTCAATGTTTGAGATCACATTGAGATCGCTGATTTGAGTTAAGCTGAGTACAGTTTGAGATATTATTGAGGTGATTCGAGATCAAAAAAGTCTCCATTTTCTCGCCATTAAATCTCAATCCTGGAAAACACTGAATATATATGAGGTCAGTTGAGGTGTTCACATTTAGTCTCATTGCTGTCTCATGGAAAAAATCCAAGTGTAAAAGATCACCTTTGTGATTTTTCTCTTTTATGGATCTCACCAGTTTTTGCCGTATATCTGTTTCCATTAGGTGGACACGGTGGCCGCAGACTTCCTGCTGCGTAAAGGTGGAGAGAAGAAGTTTAATGTCAAAACGCTGCGTTTGGGCCCTTTGACCAAACGGGGATTCTACTTGGCGTTCCAGGCCCAGGGCGCATGCATGGCCCTTCTATCCGTGCGCGTCTTCTTTAAGAAGTGTCCGGCTCTCACGCGCTCACTATCCGTCTTCCTGGAGACAGTTCCACGCTCGCTGGTCCAGGAGGCAGTGGGCCAGTGTGTGGCCAACGCAGCGCAGCCTGGACCCAATCCCAGACCGCCCAAGATGTTCTGTGGAGAAGATGGACAGTGGGTGGACCAGCCCACCACCACCTGCACTTGCCTGCCGGGCTTCGAGGCCAGCCATGGAGAGCTGGAGTGTAGAGGTGAGTGAGAATAAAAGGCTTCTCTGAAGCTAATAGGAGCTCTCTGTGAAGGCGATGAGCTGGAGCCAAAAATATAGCCAAATTTCAGTTAAATTAAACAACGCTGAAAAATTATTTGATGTGTCTTACAGTGCTATTTAAATCACAGAATATAATACACTCATTACATCAGATTCTGATGTGCTTAATATATTGTGCTTCTATAATGTGACATAAATGTTATTCTTTGAAGTATGGAAGCATATAGGTAGCGTAATTCAATTTAAAATGCAATATGCAAAATGGCAATGCAATATGCAAAATGGCATTGTATTTCTGTATCGTTTACGCTCCACTTCATCTTCCAGGGAATTCAACGATCTTATCAGATCTCGAGCTGCCATATTTCAAACGATCCAAATGTAACACGCTTCTGCCAATCCCTGCCTTGAAGCAATGATTGACGGAGGGTGGGCGTGGTCAGCTCGGAATGCATTTTCAAAGCCGCACTGAATTTTGCTACAAATATCCACGGCGTCATGATGAAAATGCAATCCTAAGTGTTCTAACTGTTAGTCTAAATGCATTTAGGACAAATAGCATTTAAATGATCATTATGCTACCATTTCTGCTTGAACGTTACACATATCAAATCAATTTGTGTTATACATTTTCATTTTCATTTCGCAACTTATAAAGCGTATTGCATTTTAAATTGAATTTCGCTACCTATATGCTTCCATATTGAAGTACCTTGGAGAAGCTTTTTAAACATAAGTCTAGACAAAAAATCTCTTATCCTCACCAAAGCTGCATTGATGTGATACAGTAAAAACCGTAATATTGTGAAAAATTATCACAATTTAAAATAACTGCTTTCTATGTGAATATTTTTTTAAATGTCATTTTAAGTCAAAGCTGAATTTTCAGCGTCATTACTCCAGTCTTTAGTGTAACATGATCCTTCAGAAATCATTATAATATGCTGATTTGCTGCTTGAGAGACATTTAATATTATTATTAATGCAGAAAACAGTTGCGCTTAATATTTTGAATCACATTATGGATTTTTCAGGATTTTTGATGAATAGAAAGTTTAAAATAACAGCGTTTGAAATCAAAATCTTATGTAAAAAGAATAATATATATATATATATATATATATATATACAGTAGTCAACATTTGAAGTGGATCAAAACCTTTCATCAGAGTTGTCCTAAAACCAAAATGCGTTCTTGTCTTAGTACAACTCTGATTAACTTTTTTGATCCACTTCAAATGTTGACTACTGTATTTGAAAATCTGGAATCTGAGGGTGCAAAAAAAAAAAAAAAAAAAAAAAATTTTGAAAGTCTCTTAAGGTCACCAAGGCTGCATTTATTTAATCCAAAGTACAGTAAAAACAGAATTAAAATAACAGCGTTTGAAATCAAAATCTTATGTAAAAAGAATAATATATATATATATATATATATATATATACAGTAGTCAACATTTGAAGTGGATCAAAACCTTTCATCAGAGTTGTCCTAAAATCTAAAATTAAAATGCGTTCTTGTCTAAAGACAACTTTGATTAACTTTTTTGATCCACTTAAAATGTTGACTACTGTATATATATACTATACTATACTATACTGTACTATACTATACTATTTTAAACATCTAAAAAATATTACTAATCCAAAACTTTTGAACGGTAGAGTATATACTATTACCGTCTGAAGATGAAAAAAAAGTGGAGCATTTTTAGTTTAATGTCGTCTAACTAACAATAAATACTGTTGTTTTACATTTTTAACACAGTCTGATTAAATAACGAAACAAGATATAAAATAAATTCACAGCCTACTTTCAGTTTGTCCCATAGAAAATAGAAGGTCAGGTTGAGCACATTGAATTGTGGTTAGAGTACTAAACACAGTGTGCTCTGGTTCAATGATACACATTTTGACAAATGTAGCTGGTCAGCTGGGTTTTCCATGCATACAAAACAGTTTCTTACTGTGCCCAGTAGAAAGCAAACCATTCAGAACATAAACTTCCATCTTTATACGTACTATCACAAATGTATGAACCTGAGAGACTGTCGAGTACAGAATATTTTGCACACACACACACACACACACACAAACATGCGCTTTTCTACCTTAAGAGTAAGTCTTGAGGACGTTTATACTGACAACGGCTGCAACTTCAACACTGATAAGAGCCCAGAGAGACAGTAAAGGACAGATGGGACTGAATTAGACTAAGACTGTGACACTTGAGAAGGAGGGAAAACATTGACTGAATGCAAGGCAGAGTGAGAGAGGTGAGATGAAGGTCTCTCAGAAAAGCCGTTCAGACTAGAGGAAAGAGACAGGATGTGGAGACGCTCGCAGTGGAGAGATCAGGAGAGAGGATTACGGTGTATTTCATCAGTGTCCTACAGCTGGACACATTTTCATTCACTATTACATTACAGTCCTGTGCATCCGGGGTGCATTTACATTTCTGCATATATCAGACACTTTTATCCAAAGCGACTTAAGCTGGTGCACACAGTACACGTCTGGCCACAGTACTGCCATTTCAGCCAAATTGCAAAAGCATTCTTTTTATCAAAGGGCAAAATCACCAGTCTTTGATCGTTTAATGTGACATGCTCACAGATGACAGATTAATTGCCTTTCTGATAAATGTTAGTCTTCAATGTGTCTGATATTTTGGGTCACAAGACCTCCAGTGTGATTGCATTTGTGACTGCCATCTTTTGAAGAATGAATAAGACCACAGTGACACAGATTAGACAAATGCTAGCTTTAGAAAGTTTGGGATTGGTAAGATTAAAAATCTTATTTTTATTTCATTTATTTTTAATGTTGTTGGAAGAGGTCTCTCAAAGGCTGTATTTAAGCGCAGTAAAATAATATTGTAAAATATTATTGCAATTTAAAATACCCGTTTTCTATGTGAATATATTTCATATTATACAGCTCCGGAATAAATATACATAAATTATTTAATTTTCATTGTTTCAAAAGTGGAACTAAAACAAAAACAGGAATAATTGTAATGCAGCTAGGTTCATCTGTTCATCATCTTCATATCGACAATACAACTTCATGCCCATAAAACTAATTTTTAAACCCCCAGGCTCGGATTCCATTGTAAGTTCATGACTACAATCACGTTTTCCTTCATTTTTACAACGCTCAGCGACTCAAAATGATTTTCTGTGGTAATCGACAGCATATGTTGCATGTGTGTAGGTTGACCGGGAAAAGGATTTACCCGGGAAAATTCATTTAAGGACACGACTGATCTACTTTAATTCATGTAATCGCCATCTCTCAGTGGAGTGGGTCAGTCCAAATCCTCCCAGGTTTCAAATATGACTCCAGCTCTTTAATGAAGTTTTTTTTTGCAATGGGTGGGGTGTGTGTGTGTGTGTGAGTGTTAAAGGCTGTACTCGTCTGTTAAACACTGCAGCTGTGCTTTCTGTGGGCGTGAACCCCTGGAGTTCACACACACACACACACACACACACACACACTCAATGACTTACTCAGCATTCATCCACTCAAACACACTACATCTGCTGTTCATCTCTTTCTTTCACACACCCACACACACAAAGGCAGCGCAAAGCCATAATAGTGGCGCCTCCGGGCAGGGATGTGTCCAGTACAAAGGCACTCTAATGACATGACCAATTAGGTATGGGCAGAGAGAAAAAGAGAAAGAAAGAAAGACAGAAAAAAAGAGAATCCTGCAGTTTATTAGGCAGGTGAAAGGCCGAATGGAAAGTGTGTGGTCACAGGTGAAGGACTGTGAGGCCAGACAAGAAGTGTGTGTGTGTGTGTGTGGGTGTGGTGAACAGTACTAATGACTCCAATTAACCACATGCAGATTCACACATGTACAATCTCTTCTTGTTAATTGTGGAACTACTGCGGTAGAACCACTTTTAGTATGGCACAGTATAAAAGTTTGGGGATGGTACGTTTTTGAACGAAGACTCTCCTGCTCACCAAGGCTGCATTTATTGGATCAAAATTACAGTGAAAACAGTAATATTGTGAAATATTTGTGCAATTTAAAATAGCTGTTTTCTATTTGAATATTTTTATTTTATACTCTAAAATAATATTTTTATTTTTATTTAGATGGAATTAGTTTTCTAAACAATATTTAATAAAGCTGGATGCTTGTCATTTGATGCACAGATTTTGATGGGTTTGGACTCTTTGTAGTTGTTACCGTAAAGGGAGTTTCTGTTGTCTAGATCTGGGCATTATAGACAATTATGTGTTCTCAATGTGAGCCTCGTGAAACCCAATTAATTAATTATGCAATTATACAATTATGTGTATAATTAAGGAAAGGAATGAAATAAGATAAGGATCGTACCTGACGCTGCTCTGAGCGGTTTCAGCGATCACACACGCTGTATTGATGTAATTTTCTGCCAGCAGCGCTCGCAGGACCGCCAACCCAGAAAGTTGACAAAAAAATTGTTCTCCAGGCAGTTTAACAAGAAAATTAGCTTTAGTTATAGTATTCAACAAAGGTTTAAAATAAATGAGGAGAAGAGTTGTGAAAACAATAACAGTGCAATCACAGACATTCCTATCTGGACAAGATTAGTTTTCTCTGAGGACCCTCTGGTAATAAAAAAAAAACACAAGTAATTTGCTCAGTAATATTTTCCGGAGGTTGTGCAAGACAAACAGATATGTTCAATTTGGATGGGATTAAAATCAGTGTGTGTCTATGAAACACAAATTTGCCTTGGGCAAAGGTACTCAGAAGTTATATGCACTACCGTTGAGTAAGATTTAAGGTCAGTACGTTTCTTTCTTTTTTTATTCTGCAAGGATGCAATAAATTGACAAGAAGTGACAGTAAAGTCATCAACAGTTTTTTTTTTTTTTTTCAAATAAATGCTGTTCTTTTGAACTTTCTGTTCATCAAAGAATGTGGTTAAAAATATGAAGCAGCACAACAGTTTTTAACATTTCTTGAATCGTCTTATAAGAATGATTTCTGAAGGATAATGTGACACTGAAACCTGGAGTAATGATGCTAAAAAAAATTCAGCTTTGACTCACAGAAATAAATTACATTTAAAAATATATTCACTTAGAAAACTGTTATTTTCAATTTTAATAATATTTCACATTATTACTGTTTTTACTATATTTTTGATCAAATAAATGCAGCATTGGTGAGAAAAAGAGACTTCTTTAAAAAAAAATAAAATATAAATAAAATTGTACCGATCCCAAAATTCTGAACGGTAGTGTACCATTTTGTTGAAAAATTGTATAAATTCATAATTGATACGTTTCTTAATCTGTCCATCCGTAGTACACATCCTCAACAAAAGACACTGATATGGATGTCAACAGTAATATCTTTTTTGTGTCTTTAAAACCACCAGAGGCCTGAAGATCATTATCCTTCAGCGAGTAAATTCACAGACATTCATTATGGAAACGTTTCGAATAACACACACACACACACACACACACACAAAAACCAGTGTAACACCACTTTAACTAGGAGGAAAATTCAGACCACATGTTTTGGTCTGAGTGAAACTGATGTTAATCAAATCCAGATGTGTTTCCATCAATAAAGGGCTTGTGGACTGATTATGAAATGAAACTGGTCAGGGAAACGTGTCTGTATACCCGTCTTTTCCAGTCTCATGAGACTCTGCTTTGCTTGTTCATGTGTGTGTCTGTATGTGTGTAGTGTTGTGTGTACGTCACGTCAGAGAAAAAACTACTAAAGTTTCATGGGTGACCTGCATGCGTGTGGGTTTTATCTGCTGAAAGTCTGTGTTTGTGCGAGGCTATAATCAAGTGATTGAATAGCTAAACATGCAGAAGAACATGATCATATTTCATATCATACACCGGACTTTGCCACACAGAGATTCAGAAGCGGTTTAAATCCCGAATCAAACTGTCATCAACTGAAATAGACACCGGAACATGCTTAGATTTGTTGTCTAAATGATTGTTTAAATGTTGACGCAAAACGACAAATGAGGTTTGTGCTTAAGACAGCAAGATCTTGAGAGAGAGGACAGAATGTGTGTGTGTGTGTGTGTGTTTATTTGATGGGAAAGTGTGTTTGTTTAATGATAATACAGCACTCATTCCCACAAAACATGTTTCTCTGAAAAGACTATGGTGGTCCAGACTGGTTGATGCTGGTTAGTGCTGGTTTAGCTAGCAAACCAGAATAGCCATGTGACAATTAGCAGGTTAAGCTCACGACTAGCATCCAAAACACAACAGACCCTACTGTTTTTTATGTAACTCTTTGTCTCATTCTCTCTGTCCAGCGTGTCCTGTGGGTCATTTTAAGATGGGATCTGGTCCTGGCCCGTGTTCTTTGTGTCCTGACTCCAGTCACACAGGAGAGATGGGATCTGCCTCCTGTGCGTGTCGCCCTGGTTTTTACCGTGCCCCTACCGACAGTCCAGATACACCCTGCACACGTGAGTACAGCTCCTTTCCCTCAACCATATAATGACAACTGGATCATATTTGATATGCTAATTTATAAGGCCTCTCAATTATTAACATGATCAAAACTGAAAAAAGGGTTTTAAACAATCTACTATGACTTCAATCTGCTACGTCCCTAATATGTCCCCTTTCAGGTCAGGATTTAAATGTCATTTTACTGTGAAATCTTTACCGATTTTTAAGAAGCAAGTATAAGAAAAAATTTCATATTATTAGCAATATTTCAAGATGAACATTTCCTGAAGCAACCTTCGTTTTTAGATGTTAAAATGTGAGTATCAAATATGATTAGGCTTTTCATCTCTCAATCAACATTGCATTATATGTTTTACCCCACACTAAAAACTTCAGAGCTTTGACCATAAAACTAAGCATTTAAACATCATCTTACTGTTATTGGGAAATAAAGACTGACAACTGATATTTCTATGCATTTTATGTAAGTAGTCTGTTATACTGAAGATCTCATTGATTTACATTACAAGCAATCAGAATTTCATCTTCCGTTTTGGCCATATAAATATCAGCGTTTGCACCAAATTGCATGTTTTTGCTCAGCTTGGGCTTCTGAATAAAACTGGGATGATTTTTTTCCCCTCATATGAGCTCCATGAAATAAGCTATAAAAGCCTGATGCATCAAATATGATACTCAGCAAAAACACATGCAAATAAATCTTTCCATTTCAAAAAATTAGATTTTTCTGACTATGATTTCATATGTCAGGCCTAAACTTCCCTCTCTTTGTCTTCCTCTAATTCCGTACTAGTCTGCTTTCCCACTTCTTGTGGTCTACATTGACTGTTCTGGTTTTTTTGTTGCTTTCTGGGTATTACAGATATGTCATGCAGATGAATGAACTGTGGCCATAATTCAAATGTCCTGTGCTTGTTGTCCTTTTCAGGTCCGCCCTCGTCCCCGCGCAGCCCTGTTCCCCAGGTCAATGACACCTCTCTCACGCTGGAATGGAGCGAACCGTTAGACAGCGGGGGCCGTTCGGACCTCACCTACAGCGTGGAGTGTCGAATGTGCTCGGCCCCCAGGGGCCCCTGCATGCCATGTGTGGACGGTGTGAATTACCGCCCGTCCCAAACTGGGATCCAGGGCCGGCGTGTGAGCATTTGGGGTCTCCGACCTCACACCACCTACAGCTTTACCGTGATGGCCCTCAACGGGGTCTCTCCTCTGAGCCTGCAGGGGCCCGCGGGGGAGACCATCAACATCACCACCAGCCCCAACGGTGAGACAGAGAGACAGTGAAGGTGCATATGAATGAAAGTTGTTGTTTTAGTTGAGTCTGTTAATTGCTCGTGTGTGTGTTGTGTAGTTCCTGTATTGGTGTCGGGTTTGAGGAAGGTCACAGCCACAGAATCCAGCCTGACGCTGCACTGGAACACACCGACCCAATCACACTACAGGATCCTACAGTACCAGCTACGCTACTGTGAGAAGGTAAACTACTACACTATACTGCACTGTACAACATTACACCATATCAACTTAATTGTATTGAATGTGCACTTACAGGCACTCTTAAAGGTATATCTTTCAAAAACTGTATTTGCAGATAATATAGTATTAATGAAATAAAAAGCCACTTAAGTGTACTTAAAGAAATTTTCTTAACACACTTAAGTACACTTTTAAAATGTGCACTTTGTAATTTCAAGTAAAACATTTTGCTTTAAAGTACATTTGAAATCATTATGTTTTGTCATACACTTATTTTGATGTGTTGACTGTACTAAAATGCAACTTAATTACAAATGTTTAAATTACACATGCATTTTAATACAGAACATTCAAGTTTCAATAGAAATAACATTAAAATACAAGTTGCACTTATGTATATTCTTTAAAATAAAAAATAATAAGTAACAGCAAGTAAAAGCAATACATATAAAGTAATAAAAATAAGTGCTTTACTTACACTCTTTACCTCTTATTGGTTACAGTAAAAAAAGAGCACACAGCATTTACTCAGGAAAATGTGATTTCTCATCACTGTAATTCAGTATTTTTTACCAGTATTTTTATGACCTCTCCCTATTTCCCTGTCTCCATCCTACCCATTCGTTCCATCTTTTTCTCAGTGCTTGTGTTTTATTGATCGCTCTCTGTGGCCCAGCTGCTCACTGTTTACTCTAGAGACCTGCCAGACTAATTAACAATTAATACATTCAAACAGCTCAGAAATGGTACGTGAAGAATCAATCAAATGATTTTAATGGAAGATACTGGTGTTTGTTCTTCTGACAGGAGCGCGGTTCTGAGGAAAACTCCTGTCATTTTATGGAGAGTAATATCAACGAGGTCGTATTGAGCGACTTGCGCAGGGCGACACAGTACGAGGTTCAGGTCCGCGCTCGCACCTTGGGCGGCTATGGCAGCTTCGGTCAAGCTGTCGTCTTTCGGACCCTTCCTGACGGTAAGAAAAGTTGTAGTCAGAGGCGCCAGTTCGGTGTTGTGGTAATTTATTAGTGCCCAACTTTTTGTGCCTCGAAGAGTTTTGTTTGAGAAGGCATTTTATTTATTTATTTTTCCTCCTTGTGTAGATCGAAGCCAATTTTTTTTTTAGATTGTATCGTACCTTTTTCCGTTTTTAAACCATTTCTCTCTCGCTCTGGCTGTCTGCCTCTCTCTGTTTCCCTAGAAGATGATTCCTCGTCTCCACTGCTTGTTACTGGGATCCTTATAGCCATGGGCATGCTGCTCCTCATCATCGTCATTGCTGCTGCAATCTACTGTATAAGGTACAACAAGAGACCAACAAGAAAAAGAGAGTGTGAGGTTGTTATAATTGGGCCTGCGTGGAAACTAGAAAGCTCAGGAGATTTCCACAGCCGTCATTCACTCATCCCCTGTCCATCGCATGCTTGCTTATTAAATATTTTAGCTATTTTAATGCTTTCAGCAATCACTAAAACTAGAAATCTTAGCAGTGTCTAACACATTTTACCATATTTATATTATGTGCTGTTTTCAGTGTTGAGATACTGTCTCTTATCCTGGGTTAATAAGAGGCAACAATAAGTAAGCCTTTTGTAGGTTAATGACCTGAACACTGACTTTGTGACACTTTCAGAAAGATTGAATTTCAAATAACATGTATTTTATGTCATCTGATTCAAATAATAGTTTGGGTTTAGGAATACCTGTTTTATTGAGTAATGAATGATGGGCATTATATGGGAAACATGTTCGGAAACAGTATTATGTTTGCTCAAATGATAAATGTTGTTATTTTTAACTAAAACTAAAACCAAGGTTATCATCATTTACTAAAACTAAAATTTTGTAAAATATTTTTGTTACTTGAAATAAAATTAACATTAACTGAAATAAAACAAAATATAAAATAACTTTTATATCAGCTAGTTGCCAAAGTAACATTTCTAATTTTTGTTTAGTTTAGGTACTGAAATAACTACAATTAAATAAACTAAAAGTTCATTTAAAAACTATATATACACTTTTTTGGCGTTCAGATCTACAGCAGGGTTATTATTGCTAGATAAAACTAGGACTATTCAAATAAAATATTAATATTAGATGAAAACTTTAAAGGGAAATGAGAAAAGTTGCCTTGGCAACTAACTAAAGCATTCAAATTGGAAATATAAAAAAGAACTAAAACTGAGTAAAAATAAATAAATTAAACCTGAATATAATATATATTAAAATATATATATAAATGACAAAAACACATAAAAAATACAAAAAATGTAAAGTGAAAACAGAAAATATTAAAATCATTAAAATTAAAATATTAATAAAAAGTATAATAGTATATCAATGATACTAAAATAACTGACTAAAACAATAAAAAATCATTTTCTGTAATTAAAGCTAAATAAAACTAAATAAAAACAAAGTTACAGCAAAAAATTTGACATGTTGTCCAGGCAATTAACTGAAATAAAATAATTTTATGTAGAAGTACTAAAATTACTAAAACAAATAAAAAAAATTAAGCCAATTAGAAATATAAAAACTAATAAAAATGACAAAGTACATAAAATTACTAAAATCAGTTTTTTTTAATGAATACTGTAATAGTATATAAATAATATTGTAATAACACAGTAAATTACACACCTCACCTTTACATCCATTTTGCAGAATTGCACTGATTTCTCCACACAGCCAGAGTGGAAAAAAGTGGTAATTCTGTGTGGAACTAATTAAATGAAGTGACAATGACTTAATTTGCCTCTAGCCTTTCGTATACCAGTTTGAGCTGAAAGACCTAATGTACTCTTCCAAAGTGATCAGACTGTCCTAACAGTTATTTCAGCTACATTTGCGGAAACTGAGAAAGAGAGAGAGAGAGAGAGATAGAGAAGAGACGAGAAAGGGGAAGTGGAGACAGGATGCAGTAGTCCCACCCCAGGCTCTACAGGCCAATTCAGTTGAACAATAGTTGTGTCCCTGGGGTACCCCACACACACACACACACACACAC